CTGGGTATCTACACCACTATGATTTGGAAAAGAATAGCAGCAATAACCAGTTTCTTTCCACCAGTTTATTGGATGGAAAATAGTTCAGCATAATGTGCAAAAATTATTCATGAATATTCCCTTCTATTACCTTAACATAGGCTAAAAATATGTGTGTTATTCCAGCACTTTAGTACCTACCTGGTCACACTCTAGCTGTAAAACTAACAATAAAAATAAATAGAATGATTAAAAATACAAGACATGAACAAAAAAAAGTAAAAGCAGGTATTTACAGGAGACTACAAAGGCCATTTCCATAGAATTTTCAAGCAGAAACATGTTCACACCTTTTGAGAAGGTGGAAAAAAATCTCAAAAGTGAGAAAGCATTCCAGAGCTGAGGAACTGAAGGTCTCTGGATCCAACCTATGGTCCCTCTATTCAGAGAATGTGAGCAGAGAGACTGACTCCATGTAGATTTTCAGTAATATCAACTCCATGCAGGCATGAAGATTTGCCCACAGACATGAGGCTCTGGAGATGGTACTAAAGCAGGAAAAAATATTGTAATGGGTAAAGTTCTTAGTTACCAGAAACCCTCTACATGTTACACCTTCCTGTCTGCCTAGTGCCCACTTTCATATATGTGTGTGTGTTTAATATATATATATCTGTGCTATGAGGAATTCCTTCCCCTAGAATATCACATATCTTAAAAGCGACAGAAGAAATTTCTGTGGCACTATTTGAGGATAATTAACATGGTTTCAACATTTTTGTCCTAACATAATGAACCATTCACTGTTCTAACGTTGGATGTTAGAGCTTTGATATTCTTCTCGTCTGCAATTCTGCTTGAATTATCTCAGATTGTGTGATGCTATGAGAAGAAGAGTTATCAGACCTTACAGACCATGATTCAGCAGGTAATTCCAGCCCTGGCATAGTTCAGAGTTCCTATAGGGCATCTCTGTGTTATGCCAGGTAATAAGAGCTCAGAGACCACAGAACTGGCAAGACAGAAAATGAAGTGCAAATGTGCTCCAAATCTACCTCTAGTCTTCACTGCCAGGAGATGCCACATCAGCTGCTCAGAACACACAGGAGTTCCCAGATAGAAGAAGGTTCTTTTACATCATCTCAGTTGTTCATCATACATGATTTATGGCACTAGTGTGCTGCCAAACAGGCCACAGAAGTTGCATCCTAAAAGGGATTTGGCCCCATGTGCCTTGACAGCATGGCAAAGGATGAAAATACTTCCAAATAACACGACAGCTTTTATCCATGTCAGTTCCCAGAAGCTAAATGAATAAGAGGTAGTGTATCAATTCATTGGAAGGCACAAATATGTTGATCATGTAGGTTTTATAAATCATTTTGTTGATGTATTAACAGAAAATGTACATGGAAACCTTCTTAGCCAATACCCTCAACAGCTTCATTTTCTTATTTAAACCAATAATCCTGTAAAGTTTTGAAAACAACTTCCTAGCTTTTTTTCTTGAAATTGTTAATATCTAAATTCATAAAAAAACCTTCCTCATGGCTCATACAAATGTCTGTGTAAGCAAAGGTGACAGCCACCTGAGAACATTGATGCTAATTCATCTCTGGTGGTATTATTACTCAGGAAGGAAATTTTGAACATCATACAACAACTATTCTTTGTATATAAACAGTAAAATCCCTGTGCCAGGAGTATCTGCATCTTCAAAGGAACAACATCTAGTGAGGACTTATTTCAGCATTCTGTCTACAGGACATTTCCTCTGCTCTGTGCTCCTTCTATTCTGAACAGTATAATTAAAAAGACAAAACATCAAAAGTCATAATACACATCATGACTGTTTTTCTCAGAGGCTACAACTTAAAGGAATAAATATGACTTTGAAGGAAAGCAAGGGCTTTCATTTCTGTCTAAAGGACAGAAATGGTTTTCGTGGTCCTTCAGCCTGTTTATATTTCTCATTTGCATCTGCACAAGGAAACTAGATTCTCTTTTCAAACAAGCAATTCCAAGTAACAAAAGCCTTAATTCAGTATGCCAAGAAAACAAAAATATTGAGTTCATGAAGTTCACAGATAAATTATTTCCCAAAGACATGGAAGAGACGGTGATTAAAAAAAAATCAATTTCTAAATCTCAGTATAGTTTCTTCCAAAACAATCTCTCATACACACAAGTAACTGACAGATAAAAATTATTAAATATAAAATATTTTGAAAACATATATATGCCTCTTTTTATTAGATTAAACTACTCTTTATTTTTTCCATGTGCTAAATCTCCAAGAATTCATGAATGTGAGAGACACCAAAGAGTCAAGAACTTCATCATTACTTATTTTAAATAAGAAACACAGCACAACTGCTACATTCAGCATAATTTCTACTTAAATGTTATGTAAATACACAGCAAAGGACGTACCACTGAATCTGTGTTTAGTAAGTTCATTAATAATGGTTAAAGAACTTCACAGTCTGTTCAATTCAGTGAATGACATTATCCCTTTGAAGAGCAGCCCCTAATAGGCCCTAATCCAAATAACTGCTGGAATTAGCAGGAGGAAGATCACAGCTTTAAACAGACATTGAATCAAACATTTGCTAATGTTCAGGAAAGATCCATGTACAGCAGATCTCTCTTCAGTCTTCACTGCTAAAACAACTGAATGAATAAGAAAGAAAAAAAGAAAATAAATACTGCCACACTCCTTAACTCACATTCCAGACATTTGCAGCACTAGATCACAACTAGTGTTTTTTTTTAAGTAACATGTTGAATGAATGACCAGTGGTGAAGTACTAAAATACAGAGTGCCTCCAATCCTGTGCTGAGGCAATCTCTTAACAGGCTTCATGACATCTCCCACCTGCACTGTTATCCAGACATCCCAGCCAGATAATTTGCTACAAAACCCAGTGTAAAAAGGATGGCAGAGGCAACATACAGAGCGTTAGTGCCAGTCAGATATCTACAGATCTTAATCCTTTTTACTAAGATGACATATAGTGAGGATTCCTGAAAAAAAATAAAAATCCCCAGGAAGAAGAAGAAAAGAAAACAAGGCTGAAGCATGTATACATCCTCTGTGTGGTCAAAATTGTCTGAAACCACAGCTTTACCCATGAAATAGAAGCACCCCACCATTCACTTATTCCCTTTATTCCCTCAAAAAAAAAAAAAAAAAGAAGAAGAAAAAAGAGAAGAAGCAAATAGAAAATAGACATGGTGTGAGTGTGGACAGTATCAGGTATCAGTGCTAGAGGGAGATGGAGAATGATGGGAGCCCCTGCAGGACTGATCCCACTGGTTCCAAAGCCTGGGCTCCCCTGTCTGAAGAGCAGGAAAGGAGGGCAGGAGCTCAGGGAACAGTGACAGCTAAATGCATGGCATGAGTAGCTGCATAGAATGGGACAGCTTCTTTCTGTTTCAGGGTATTAATGTCACAGTGGCCAAGAGAATGATGAGCTGCAGTTAGCCATTCTCACAGTGGTACTTTAAAAAGTACCCGATTTGAGGAGCACTGGACAGGCGGCACATCACGCTGAGCTAAATAGATAAGTGTGATATTTCAATGACAAGAGGCAGCAGGTTTTGCTGTTCTAAAAAGCAAGAGGGTGAATTTTTCTGATGGTACCGATGGACATGACTGGAAGGTCAGCCTGGGTTGCTGGCAGTGTCACCCTGGTGCCTGGTGGCAGATGGTGCCAGTCTGTGGGGATAAAAGGAAGGCTGACGCACATCGTGGGCTGACAGCGATGCTATTTGCTCAGGAATAAAGGAGCTCTGGGGCAGGTGCAGGCAGGACAGATTAATAGGGATGCTGAGCCCCCAGCGTGTGCCCAGCCCAGGGGCTGGAAGGGTGGATAAACCGGGAAGCACTGCGGGAAGCACGGTGGGGCTCGGCTGCCAGGGCGGATGCTGCAGGTGCTGCCGTGTGGGGGCTGTGTCTGGGACACAGCCCAGGCCAATCTCTGCGTGATCCCAGGAGAGTTTTGGACCTGCCTCTCCCTACAGACATCCAGGCTGGACACTTGGGATGTCCACCAGGACCCCAGCTCTCCCCCCAGCACTGCCCTGTGCTGCTTGTGTTCCCATTTCTGGACTTACGCAATGGCTGGAGGGCAGAGGAAGCGTGTGGGAAGTGGAGCAGAGGGAGATGCAGGCAGCCTGCATCCCCATGGGGCTCCCTGGAGTGTCCCAAGCTGGAAATGTGGCCACCTCACCACTCCTGCCTCCCGCAGCATCAATATTCCAAACGAGTATGACAAACTAACAAGGGAGCCAGGGCTTTTGCAGTCAAAGGAAGTGTTTTCCCCACAAATAAATTGCTCAAATCCTTTACACTAGACACCTAGGCATGCCTGTTTATTAATTGCAGAAGCTCTGGTGACAACTGAAATTACCTTGCTTTCCACATATTGAAGGGAGAGAGATCTTTGCAAGCTTAAAATAAAGCTGGAAATCCCAGCCACCACAGAGCTCTCTGAACGGGGCTTTATTTTTTAAAGAAAAAAAAAAAATTTCGGAGCACAGACACAGTAAAGCTCATTTTAAAAGCAGAGGCTCATTCTTTACTGCTGTCCCTCCCTTTGCAGACCCTGAACTGTGGCACCAGAACATGACAGCTCCATCAACAAACCACAAATCCTTCAAGATCTGCATATCAACCAAGTTTAAGAACTTCAGGAGATGAAATTCTGGGATCATGGCAACGTTGCAAATAATTATCACAATCAGGTACACTAGAAATGATAAACATCTCCTTTATCAGTACACTGTGTTGTGTACGGTATGAATGGTAATTAAAACACACGTATTTGAATTAAGGGTGAGAGGCAAGTGATGAGAGTCGATTTCTGTCACAACCCACTCACAGTACACCATTCATGGATTTTTCAACTACAGTTTTGATCTGGGTTTAACTGTTCCTCTTGCCCCTTAAGGGGATGCCTGGGAACCCTGCACAGCATCTCCCCCACTCCCTCGCTCCTTCTGTGCTTGCTGCATACCTGAAATGCAGATGATGAAATTCGCTTGCAGAAGAAAAAGCACCTCCCAAACAATTTCCATCCTCCGATTCTCATGCCAAGTGCATCCCTCGGCGAAAAAAAATAACAAAGATCAATATCGCAGTTTGAACGATCCCAGCAAATTTCCTTTCGAACTTGCAGACTGTATTCCCCAGATGTGCTGACAACACATGTCCGAGCTCTCTCTCCGCACGGCTCAAGCGAGATCCTTTCCCTTCCTTCGCCCTCCAAAAAAGATCACGAAGCCAACTGCCAGTACCGGGATCTTCCTCCTCGAGCGAGAAAAAATTCCACCAGATTTCCCAACACGACATAGACAACAAACCCCAACCGATCCGATATCCGGAGAGTCTCTATTCCAGGGGCGGCCAGGCCAAGTTAACCCCAAAACTCTTTGCACGTCTCAGCGGGGCACTGCCGGCATGCCGGGCAAGGAGGCGGCGAAGGGAGGGGGGATTCCCGTCCTGTTGCTGCTGCTATAGAATGAGCGGAAAGAGATTAATACCCGCTGCAAAGCCCTCCACCCCCGCTGCAAAGCCATCCACCCCCGCTGCGCTCCGAGCGCGCAGCCCCGGCCGCCCGGCCCCGCCGCAAAGCCGGCGTGCGACTGCAGGGGTCGGGCTTGCCCCGCGCACCGAGCCCCGAAATGCAGCCCCAACACCCTGCCCCGAAATGCAGCCCCAACACCCTGCCCCGAAATGCAGCCCCGCACACCCCGGCAGGCGAGGACGGGGCTGTGTCTGCCCGGGGAGGAGCGCTGGGGTGTGCGGGGTGTGTGTCCACCCCAGTGCGATCGGCACAAGTGCGGAGTCCGCATCAAGTGCGGCTGGTGCGCATCGCCGGGCGGCTTGGCTGAGGACGCCAGTATTTTAAAACTTATTTAAACAAGAAGGAAAAGAGATTCAGACCCGAACTTCTGCCGGGTTGCTGGCGGAAGGGCACCGGGAGGCTCCAACCGAGAGTTCCCGAAGTGCCCGCGCTGCAGTGCACATCTGATGGCATTCCCCGGGCACGAGAGCTCTGCAGAGATTCCACTCCCTCCCCCGGCCAAAAAAATAAATAAAAATAAATAAAATAAAGCAATGCCAGTTTTGGGGAAATCCCTAACCCCTCACTTACCCCCAAATCCTCCTGGTTTTTATCCCTCCCAGCTCATCGGACGTGCCGCTCCAGCCTGCAGTTCCAAAAACAAGCCGAGGTCAAGCCGCGAGCCGCCGGCTGCCACCGCCTACATCCACCTCAGCTGCCGGGAGGTACCATCGCTGCTCGGCGCTCCCCCCGCTCCCCGGAGCGCGGCTACTCCGCCATGTCCCCGGGCTGCGGGCGGTGCTGCGGGCGGCAGCAGCGGGCACGGCGGGGCTGGGGCGGCGGCGCGCACGGGCGCGGAGGCGGTGCCAGCGCGGGCGGCGGCGGCCGCTCTGCACCGGGACCGGCACCGGCACCGGGACCCGCACCGGGACCGGGACGGCCCGAGCGAGGGAGGAAAGGGGGGGCACTCCCGATCGACCTCCCGCGGGCGCCCGGCCCGCCGGGCTGTCTTCTGCATTCCAGAGGATGCTGCTCACTTGGGTTCAAATGTGCGGCAAATTTGATGTTGCTCTCCCCCACCACCCCAGGGAAAAAAAAAAATAAAGAAAAATAAAAAATAAAAAAGCAAGAGGCGCACCTGGCGCGGGGAGAGCCCGGTTCCCTGGTGCGGATGGGGGAGCCCGGTTCCCTGGCTCGGGGAGAGCCCGGTTCCCTGGTGCGGATGGGGGAGCCCGGTTCCCTGGCTCGGGGAGAGCCCGGTTCCCTGGTGCGGATGGGGGAGCTGGGCGCAGCAAGGCAGCGCTGGCACAGGCAGGGGCCGGGGCTGGGGCGCTGCCGTGCGGGGGCTGCCCCGGGCCGCGGCACCCGGCGGGATGGCTCGGGCTGTCGTGGGAGAAGGGAGGGGACAGGCACTCAGGGCTGCCAGCGAAAATCCCGGCTCAGGGCAGGTGTGAGAAGGTGCAACGGCTTCGACTGCGGATGCCTTCGATGATCACGGCAAGGCAGAGGAAAAGGGGAGGGAGGGAGATGCTTTGGGTATCAAACCGATCTCCCTCCTCTCTCTCCTGTGCTCTTGGCAGTGTGCAGAGGTCACATTACGAACACTCCAGTGGGGGATGTATGTAGAGTAGGTTGAAAACAGATTGGTTTGTAAACAGTTCCCAAACCTGGGCATACTTGTAAAATGCATCTTTGTGTGGATTCTAGCAAGAGGAGGACGCCTGGATCTCTGAATGGGGAAGGAAAGCATCTTGAAGAGAAGAAACTACAGGACTACATTATTTCCATTGTATCTGAGAAATGTGTAGAACTCCCAGGTTTCAAATATACCTGATAGTAGTTAATTGTAGCAGATCAAGAAATCCTTGAGTAATTCAGAGCAAATGGATGGGACAAAAATTGTCATTGTTTTGAAAGAAAGAATCAGACTGCAGGCACTTAATAGTCAATGTGATGCTTGTGTTCATTTTGCTCATTCCCAGGGTAGTGCAAGTGCTCTTTGCACTGCAGCAGTTTCTGCTTTTGTTTACTCCATCTCTTCTTACAGCTTACAAAGAGACTCAGGATTCTATCAAATTAATTGCTATTATCTTCCCAGTGAGAACAGTGAGGTTGGACATGAGGCATTGTCATTCAAGGCTTACAGACAAGAATTCCCATATATATTGATGGACTTATGTTAAACAGTGGGGCTGTGCAACAGGAGGGAATCCTTTCCCTGACAGGTTTGCAAAATGCTGAGTATCATTTTAATACTTACGTTTTAAGTATTCTATGCAATTCTCTTCTTTATGCCTTGTTAAAATCTGGATTAGTATCTCCAGTTCTGGGATTATATAAGTGGCATTTTCTGTCTCTAATCTAGATGTATACAAGCACACATAGGAAATGTTCAGTAAAGATTTCCATTGATGTTTGCTAAACTCCTTTACTCAAACAGATTAATGTTTTCCATGGATTTGCCTGTGGATTCTCTTTTGGGGTTTCCCAAATAATTTGTAACAGTAACATCCCAATCCAGAACATAAGAAACGCCCAAAGATACCTTGTCTTTTATATTTACACAGTCATCCTTCTTCCCAAGCTAGTCTCCTTGAAATTACAGCATTACATGTGGGGAAATAAATATCTCAAGCAAGTGAGATGGCCTGTTGTAAAACAGTGTGTTGACTACTAGGTCAGCAAAGAGCTAAACTGGTGATGAGAGAATGCCAGATCCTAAGGGCAAGCTCATGTTTAACTCCTACTGATGATCAGTGGGACTTTAATATGCACTTAATGGCAGAAAAAAAATAGGTAGTTGATGTTGGCTGCTATCAAATAGACAAAAGTCCCAAATATATTAAATTTTGTGCATGTTTTTAGTAAGCATATTGCAAACTTTATCATTATTTCAGTGGTCTGTGACAAATAAGTAGTTTGTGACTCAGACTGAAAAATCTGTGAGGGATCAACAGCAACTTGGAAGTTTCCTTCATCTGAAAAATACAGCAGTGAACTTACAGTTTTTTAAATCTAGATAAATAAGAATGAATTAATTCTGCTGTCATTTCCTCCCTGTGATGTGATTTGACTCGCAGTGGCCTTCATGCTTGGTTTTGAAGTCATTGTACCCATATTTGCTCCTGCAGCTCCCCTGGAAAACTTAGTTCAGTAAAGTTTTAAAGGATGCCAATATGGCCCTGTACCAAAGCTCATTGAAATCAACTGGAATATTTCTGCAGAGATGATGTTTGGAGCAGGCTTTCACTGCAGAATCTGTCACAGTCTGTTTGATCCCAAGGGAAATGGTTTAATATAGTAGGGTGTATTTGGGACAGAAGCAGAACATCCCTCTTTCATTCCAATGACAAAATTTCTGGCTGCAGCACTCATTTTGTTTAATTGTGAGGGTTTCCATTCAAAACCTCTGTAACTCACTAAAACGAAGGGGGTTGGCATTTACTGCCCTTACTTAAATTCCATTCCTATTTATACAGTTGGCTAAACTTCTTAATCTTGGCAACCTTTAAGCTGTACTGGAGTCATTGGACTGACTGCTCACATCTGGAAGTTAAAATGACTGCAAAGTGGGTTCAGACAGGTCTCTGAAGCATGTTTGTGTAGTCCAGCTGTGAGGATTTTACTATCTCTGATTTTTGGCATGGATTTCTGGCAGTTTAGAAGCATTCAATATATTAATTACAAGCTGGACACACAAGTTTCTTCAAGTCAGATTTACACAGAAACACCTTTTTATCTCAGTGAACAGAGTTTAAAAGGTTCTTACTAATTCCACATGCTGAAAGGTTTTTATACCAACATGACACAGGTTCATACCTGCTCAGAGGAGCCAACATTTGACTCATTTGACTCAAAATTAGCTTGGATCAGGAAAGAGTTGTAGAAATTACTCTGAACTGGGGAACTTCTGAGCAAAATAAGTTGAGCTGTGACTTCCCTGGTGTCACTGGAAGAGGTTGCTGCCATTCACCACTCCTGCCCTACTGAAGATTCCCCCAGTCAAGTACAGGAGTTTTCCTGTGCATTCCCTGGCTCAATGCTGTTAAAATCACATCAGCAAGGGTCTGCAATTGCAGCTGGCTAAAGATTCTGGCATGTTTCCAGTAATGAAGCTGGCAGAGCTGAAGCAGCTCCTGCTCTTTCTTGATTTCCCCCTGTCCCAGGGGCTCCTGGCCCCATGGATTATAGAAGAACCTGTAAGTCAGTGTCTGAATTACCACTGGGAATAGCCTGGGATGCAAGCACTAACCAAAATCAGCCTTACATCAAAAGCAAAGAAAGGGCTAATGCTGTAGTTCACTCAGGTAGAAGGATACTCAAAGGTCCCCAAATCCAAATGGGCAGTTGAAGATCACCCAAACCATCAGTCTATTGGTGTCCAGCTCAACTGGAACTGGAATTGGAACTTTACCAATCTCTACCAGAATTGGACCTTCACCACCATTGAGATGAAAGTGGTTGCCTGGAATAAATTAGCATAATGATAGTATTGAAGCTTGCTGTCATAAA